GTCATAGAAATAGACATCGGAATGTTCGGACAGCAGATCATATATTAGTTTTGAAAACCTTGATGGACTGTTATAGGCTAAAACGAAAACCAATTTTTGCTTGCTTTATTGATTTTAAGAAGGCTTATAATAGTGTATGGAGGGAAGGTCTTTTTTATAAGCTTATTTTATCTGGATGCAGTAAAACGTTTTTACGTCTAATGTTAATAAGTACATGCGTAAAAATTGAGAAAATCAACAACCTGTTGATATCGACGACAGGCGTGAACAATGTTGTGCGGCCCACTATGAACAGTATTGTCAACATGTTGTTGCAGCATTGTTCAATTGTAACATCTTGGAACAACATGGTTGACAACTTGTTCATAGTTGGCCGCACAACAGTGTTCACGCCTGTCAACTTGTAACAACCTGTGCGTTTTTAGCCGTGTATGTATTCCTCAGTAAACTATTCAGTAAAATTACGTCAAGGAACAACTCCCTTCTTCAATTCTGATGTTGGTGTTAAATAAGGCTGTAATCTTATTCCTACTGTTTTCAACATGTTTGTAAATGATATACCTGATTTGTTTAAAATTAACCACGCATGTGATCCAGTAAAACTTGGTAATACAGATTTGAACAGTTTACTTTATGCAGACGATTTAGTCCTGTTATCCAAATCGCAAACAAGTTTACAAGAGTGTCTATCAAAACTTGAAATATATACAAAGAAATGGAAGCTCAAAATTAATAGGAGAAAATGCAAAGTTTTACTTTTTGGAACACCGATCCAAAGGCGTGCATACTTAACGTCTGCTTGGTCATACGAAGAAAATCCCCTATATAGAACAGGTGGAGCTAGTATTGTTACATTGGAATTACTCTTCACTTTTCCGGAAATACTTGCTTTTAAATAAACCGCAAAAAGTGCGTTGCCGTTTTACATCTTTACGTTATTCATTATTAAGGTGGCTCCCTACAGTTCTCTAAAATTCTAGGTATTTTGAGTATCGTTCGCTTTGAACCGAATTTATATTAGATACACTTAAGACAAGGCAATATGATCATTTCCAGGAAAGTTCAGAAGCTGTGTGCTGTCCATTTATGAACAAATTAAAACAGTGTTTGTGTTTCCATGGCAACCATGACGTTTAATCTTTTGCACTTTTATTGTCTAATTTCACAATAAATTGACAATATCTATATTTTCCTTCGGTGAATTTTTCTGAAATTTTTTTTAAAGATTTATGGTCCATAAAGGAAAAACATCAAAATTTGAAGGGAATTTACAAATAAGTTTTCGAGATATTCGTGAATGACGGTTACAGAAAGTTATTTGTAGAATTTCTTAAAATTTGGATATGTTGTACCACTCGTCTTGTATAACAAAAATACAAAGTTTAAAAAAATTTCACGGAAGAAAACACGAGAAAATCATCGCTAAAATCGGCGTGGCCAGCATGAAAAAAAAAATCGACTCGACATGAGCACGATCTGCGCATGCGTGTAAATTGTAGCGTGTGATTTATAGTGATTTCAACTTTTTGGCTTACAATACATAAGAAAACAGATATTTCTGACATATCTATGAAAAAAATATTAATCTTGAAAATACTAATAAAAAAACACTATTATAGGCATTGTATTAAATCCAGTGTTAGTTTACATTTGTTTTTGTTGTTAAAATCGGTGTGAAAACTTTTCAAAACATCGAACTACAAGTTTATAAACTTTTCATATAAAACAACTCATAACTGTTTTCTTTGATTTAGCAGATAAAACGATACCTGTGAATTGAATTGATTGACAGAAAATATATAACTTTCGGCAACAGTTCACTACTGTTCAAGAGTTAATAGAAGACAGTATCATTTCAATTTGACAGCTCGCAAAACAACAAGTTGAAAATTTTGAGCAATATGAAAGACAATACTGAACGTAAATACGTAAAAACACGCTAAAAGATAGGTTAAACTAGTTAATAACATACGTACTGTTCGAATTCAGAAAAAAATAGGATTATATTGAAAAACTGGGGCTTTCTTTGTAGATAAAAACCATAGAAATATTAGACCTAGAATGCGTGCTTGGTCACGTGACGGCTGTCCAAATTGAAAACAAAAATGCCCTTATAAATCCGCCATGTTGAATTTGAGCATAGGAGTGCAAACTACAAAGTATAATGCACTTGTCAATTGTAACCCCCCCCCCCAACCTCGGGATATGGAGGGGGAATGTAGGGGATTTTCCCGTTTTGAAACATTGTTAAGCCCGTGTTGGTGGTGGTTTTTCTCGTTATGGATCCCCGACCTCAGAAACGGCCGAGTAACCAAAAAAGCGCCTGGGCACGAGCTCGCATTTATGGAATTATGCATAAATTATGCAATTAATTATGATGCCTTTACTGTTTCTCATTTCGAGCCGATACACTGGATACAGTTCTCAAATTTTGTCGTACAACGTTTTTATAGACCATCGTTCTTTTAATAATTTAAATTTTATTTAATTTTTATAGACCATCGTTCTTTTAATTGAAATATTCATGAAACCTGTGAAGGTGTGGTCTTCGGACCGGAAGCAGAAAAAGTTCCAGATGGACAATGGTTGTGTCCAATGTGTTCAAACATGCTAACCAGCCAACATTGTTAATATTGAATTTTTATAATTAACTATTTCGGTAATTTGTATGCCTAGTATATGGCATGGATATTTATATAAATGGGTAAGAAACTAATGTCACGTGTGATATTTTCAGGGTAGTGGTTGGTTTAGGTGGCGTTACTGACGTATTAAAACAACCTTGTTGAAACCTTGTTGACAATCATGCCGTCACAAAATATCTAAGAATCTCACGTTTTTACACCAATACAGTTAAAATTGATAGTCAAACAACCTATGAACATTTACAATACAATATCTGGATATTATTACTCTTTTTGGACGCCATTTTCTTCACAAAAAGATGTAAAAAATTCAAAACAATGTATACACTTCGATTCTCAATACAGCTACTTAAACTCGAAAAAATGGAAGATCGGCAAAAACTTCAGAATCTAAACCTGAACAGAAACCAAAGATTTGTGACGTCACGAGACGCAACCTAGGTTCAAACTGCTGACGTCATCAGTTTCCTATTCATTTTTTATGGTTTTATGTATTTCGAGTTAAAAGACTTTTCAATCCAATTTTGGAATTTATGTTGTTAATGTTATTAAAAAGGCGAATGATTGTCTAATTATTTCCCCAATGGGGTGGGAGAATAGTCAACTCACTCGTCCATATAGGGTGGGGGTATTTTAAGTTATGGTAGCATCAAAAATCTATGTCCCCTCCATATCCCGAGGTTGGGGGGTGGGGGTTACAATTGACAAGTGCATAAACAAAGCTAAAACTAAGTTTTCATCGTCAAAAGGTTTTGTCTTGCTGTCTAATTTGTAGTTTGGAAATATATTTTGAAATATTAAGTTCTTTAATTAAAGGCTCGAAGCAAATGACTGTGCAGTTACTGACAAAAACGGTGAAAATCATGCAGCCTTGTATAAAAAACAAAGTAGTTTCGCGTGTTAAAAATAAAATATAATTTACTCATAAAACATTTTTTCCTGCTCTGAACGTGACTGCTTTGCTAATATATTATTAAATTACGAAATAATAGTTTGTTGTTTGCATTCTTTGTTGGGTTCCGTTTTTCTTCAATCTAAACGAAGTCGAAGTGTTTTCATGTTTTTCGATAAACTGTAAATCGCCTAAATAATCGTTGAAAACTATGGTTTCAAAAGCGATGTCTCAAGCTCAAGCAACGTAAAAAATATAAAAAAAGTAGTTGTGAAGGTTTAAAAAGATTACTATTTATATTATAAAACAGCTGAAATATTTTTAGAACATACCAATAGTGTTGAGTTTGAGTTTGTCTTGATTTTTCGTGTTTTGTTTTGGCTTGCACAACAACGTTGAAAATGTATTTTCAAACGACGATTTCTGTATATATTCTGTTCAGAGCTATTGCTTTTCGTAAAAAAACCCACGGGAATGGGTTTTACTCGTTTTAAAAAAATATTTTTCCACTTCAAGTCTTGATATAATTGTTTTTTCAAACTTTGTTGAAAAAAACAATTCGCACTCCCGGCAACCGCGCGAAATTCCTGCCGCAGGAGTCTGGGACTAGCCAAAATAAATCCGCCATTTTGTGGAGACAAAATTTTTACTGAGAAGAGATAGGAGCACTAGGCCGTATTCTGAAGTCGATTATCGTTCAAAAAATATAAACTTTACGGGGTCTACTTAAAAACAACTTAAATCTATAGATTTTTACCTACTGAATACAAATATGCTTGTTGGCACCTCTGAAATCCTGCTGTTTTTTAGTAAAAACCCTCGAAAGTTCGAAATTTTTTACTCGTGTTTTGATGTCCGCCATCTTGGATTTTATTGTATGCGCACGCGCAGTTGCTATGTTAGAGGGGGTATCCGCTGACAATCCCGGCTCATAAGTACTTACAGGCCTTGTAAAATGCCGGTCCCTTTACTGTTTTAAAAATACTAAGGCGTTTTAAAGAAATAGGAATGTTTTCATAAATCTTTTTAACCTTTTCGTTCGGAAAATTTCGAAGATATCGAACTTTGATGGCCAGCAAAATCATTTAGTGCGCTTGACTGATACGTTTACCGCATCATGTTTAGGGTTTAATAGCGCATTGTGGTTAAGATTTGTGTATTTAGTAGGAAAGTGCCTTAGAGTAAGGTTAACGCATTGAGGTTAGGATTCGAGTATTTGGGTAGCACATTATTACATTTTTCATTATGCACAATAGACGCAATGAACATTAAAATATACTTTTTGGTGAATTTGTTACATGCAAGTCGCGTTCTTTCATCGACTGGTTAATAAAAATCGCCCGTTGTATTTTTATAAGTGATATGGAGTTCAATTTAACTGCACATTCTACATTTGTTCGTGTCGTGTGTATTTTAAATAATTCTTTTTTTCAAATTCCGAAAACTAACTTGTTTTCATACCTTCATTCTGATAAATCATCAAACATATTGTCATCATCGTCCCAGTCATAATCATTTTCATCGTCATTATCAGAAGAATCAGATTCATCTTCTCCATCCATTATTTGTGGATTGTTTTGGCCCTCTGAGCAGGAACACACTTCAGTACACTTCAATCCAGATTTCAAGCAAGAGCATCTTTGGGTCTTACATCCGGTTTTACATTTGCCCTGCACAAATTCTAGAAGGGACTCCGGAGCTGATGGACAGGTCATCCACAATATATGTAATTGCCCATCTGATTCCAATTGCCACCCATTACCCACAGCAGATGGAAGCTGTAACATTGGAGATAAACAACGATTCCACGAAGCAGCTTGGAAGTTGGATCTAGCAATATGATGAAACAGACAGTCACTATTTGGTGGTAGCGCATCATCAGAACACTTTCCTGCTTTAAAAAGATTATATCTGCACTCGTCAACACTTCGTGAGCAGTCATCGCCATACAGTAAACATATAAACTCGTTCAGGAGGTCTACCAGGTCATCATGGATGGGCAGATTGCCAAGCCTGGAGAATATTGCACAGAATTCTGGATGTTGCATGAGGACCTTCCACGGTTTTAACTTCCCTTTACCAAGAAACGCACTTGTTGTATCACATCCTACAAAGAAAAAAATAAATAAATATTTTTTAAAGTTATCTTAAAATATTCAAATCAATAAAGAAAAATACCTGAGAAGGCGTGGAATTCTGGCAGGGATGCGCACAATTCCTCTCCAAGTGAGTCTGAGACGGCAGCAACATCTATAACACGGAATTTGTTCCCATTTCCAGTCATCAGATACAGTTTCGTGCCAATTGTTTTCTGCATGGCTGTACACAGTAAAAACACATCTGTATCGGGTGATTTGATTATTATCTCAGCATGTGCTTCGGCTGCATGTCTTGAGTGAAGCAGTAATCGCGTATCGGCTTCCTCGTGATCACATCTTAGCTCTGCAACTTCTATCCTTTGAACTGTATCGCTTGGGGATAAGCCATGGGAAAGTAAATAACACTTATCTGCTGAGGTGACGTAGAACGACTCTAAACTCTTCATTTGGGCCGAGTGGTACGTACTCCAATGACCACACAAAAACACAGCCAATGACTCCTTGTTGTCTCCACAGCTCAAGTATTTTTTCCACTGTTTTGGGATATTCTGGTCTTTATTGTAGATGTGAACTCTCTGTACACCTTGAGCTGCTCTTTTTGCTCTTTCTGCGTTCTTGATACTTAATGAGGGGTACCTGTCTGCAACAAAATCGAGTCGTACAGCCTTCCATTGCTTTACAAGATTCAACAGATAGGAAAACACTGAATCAGCAAATTCTCCAAATGTT